CGCCGCGATTCGCTGTGCAGAGTTGCGTCCCTTGGGCACGCCAGAAACCTATGATTGTGGGTTCGAATCCCGGTTCGCCCTAATTATGTTTCTAGGTTTGTCAGCACCATACCCGTGCTTGTGGGTTTCACCGAAGTGGTAAACGTCTTAGACCTGCATCACTTTGGTCTTTCCTCCCACAGTAAGCTGACACGCCGTGATATAACTGGAATAATGTTAAAAGCGGCGTTAAACCCAACTCAATCACTCAAATATATATACATGTCAACCAGTCTCGATTATCTACCGAATTTCCACTGAAGGCAAAATAGCGATGACAATTATATGAATGTATCATTGAAAATCAATAATGACATGAGGTGTACCGTTATCACCCGTTACAGACGCAATTTGTATAAGAAAGGAAGTGCGTGTTTGTTGCCTGGCACCGCACACCAAAGGCGGCCTGTGAACAAACCAGACTGTCAAGTGATAGACGGGAACATCCTGAGTCACGATGGCGCAATTACTGACGCTCTACATCCACTGTTTGTCTTATGTGCATCAATTTTATATTGGGCGTGTTGTGCGTACGACTCTTTGATAAACAATTTACTTCTACGGTAGCCTAGTGGTTAAAGCGTTCGCTCGTCACGCCGAAGACCCGGGTTCGATTCCCGACATGGGTACAATGTTAGGAGCCCACTTCTGGTGATATTGCTGGAATATTGCTAAAAGCGGCGTAAAACCATAATCGCTACTACTTCTAATTTTGTTGAAACTAAACATTATATGTCAATTTTCAATAAAATCTGCTGTGTACAAGAGCCGATATTCTGCTGCTTCAAAATAAAGAAAAACGTTTAAGAAATATTTTTGCTTTGAAACAAAGGGCGACGCAGCTCTAACCATGGCTGGTTTGTTGGTTTGTTGTTTAACGCCGCACACAGCAATATTCCAGCTATATGAGGGCGGTCTGTAAATAATCGAGTCTGGACCAGACAATCCAGTGATTGATATCATGAGCATCGATCCACGCAATTGGGATCGATAACATGTTTCAACCAAGTCAGCGAGACTGACCACCCGATCCCGTTAGTCGTCTCTTACGACAAGCATAGTCGCCTTTTACGGCAAGCATGGGTTGCTGAAGACCTATTCTACCCCGGAATCTTCACGGGTCTGGTGACTATTGGAAAATAATAAGGAAGAACCAAAGAACGTAAAATCAACACACTTTGCAAATGAAGAATTACAGGTTAATTGGTAGAGATTATATGAATAAACCTTTTTTTCTAGAATCGGATTTACCTGTGTTCACCTGCAAAACGAAATAAATCGTCCGTTTATCAAAAACAGTATACTCCTACTACCCCCAAATCTGACATGCAGATGTGATGGTCTGAAGTCAAGTAAATGTCCTACAAATATCAGAACTATGATAAGATTACACAGGGCGATAAAACCAAGCATAATGGAATTACTTTGTCGTAACTCTTGTGAAAATGAACATGTTCCAGGAAAAATTGTAATTTTAAAATTTGTTTTGTTTGTTTGTTATTTAACGCCGCACTCAGCAATATTCCAGCTATATGACGGCGGTCTGTAAATAATCAAGTCTGGACCAGACAATCCAGTGATTGACATCATGAGCATCGATCCACGCAATTGGGATACGATGACATGCATCAACCAAGTCAGCGAACCTGACCACCCGATCCCTTTAGTCGCCTTTTATGGCAAGCATGGTTTGCTGAAGGCCTATACTACCCCGGATCTTCAGGGATAATTTAAAAAACGAATGTTAACATTCACCAACGATAAAGTACAATGGTTTGGTCCAGACTCGATTACTTACAGACCGCCGTCATCTAGCTGGAATATTTCTGAGTGCGGCGTTAAATCACAAACAAAAGTAATTGAAAGAAAATTCAATGATAAATGAGAATGAACGTACTATGTGTCTCTACTAATTTATTGTTATGTGATTTTGCAAACGTATTCCTTAATAATTAGAACTGAGTGCTTAGCGGTCGGTATTTGTAGGGAGGTGATATATAATTTAATGTCTATGGCATACTTAAAAAGACCACGATTAACTAATGGAGAAGAGAACAGTCATGATCATTATAGCGTGATGGGCATTTTATGTCACGACACTGATTATCCTGTAGCAATTTTGCAAGTATGTAAAACATTTTGTCATCTTTAGAAAGTCACATCACCAGGCATATGTCAAGGTACCTTAAAAAACGTAGGTAATATCTTGTCATATGTGGATGTATGTATATGGTGTACCTTTCCAAATATTATCTGCTAGTATCATGCTAGTGTGTTACACAATGAAAACAATATCTTGAACATTTGATTCATTTTGTAACTGACCCGTGAAGAACCGGGATAAAATAGGTCTTCAGCAACTCATACTTGCCGTAAAAGGCGACTATGCTTGTCGTAAGAGGCGACTAACGGGATCGGGTGGTCAGGCTCGCTGACTTTGTTGATGCATGTCATCGATCAAAATTGCGTGGATCGATGCTCATGATGTCGATCACTGGATTGTCTGGTCCAAACTGGATTATTTACAGACCGCCGTCATATAGCTGGAATAATGCCGAGTGTGGCGTTAAACAACAAACAAACAAAACAATAAGTTTCCATTACAACCGCAGACTGTGGTGCATTGATTAAGAAGGGAAAGCATAAGATGATCTAATACAAAACGACAAAAGTTTGTATGTGAAATACATTTGCACAAGAAGCCATCATCATTTTTCAAGGAATACAAATAATAGTAAGACATATATAACGTCAACACCGGAGAATATCATCTCTGTTTTCTACTGAAACAGATTTCACAGAAGGCAAAATGCTGATGAAAATTATACATTCATAATGTAACTGTTTAATACATACAAATCAATGACATGTTTTCAACGTTAACCATTTCTTCTGTGACAAGGCTGAAATAAACTGTATGCTTGCCGTCTAAATAACGATTATCACGGACATAAATACATCCATATTAACAAGCTGTAAGAAAGTAATACGAGATAATGTGTTTATTCTCTTTCCACAAATACCTGTCTCAACAAAATATGTATTTAGAATTCTTAATGCGAATATTAACTTTTTCAGTCATCTTCATATTAATATTGGCTGCGAAAGTAAACTGTTTTGAATAAAGGTTGCATTTATCTTAGTCGATACAGTGTTAATGCGGGCTTCAAATTTTATCATGAATATAATTACACAATGTATGTGCATTTGAATAGTGTGATTAATTATTTTGTGTTGTAGTTCAACCTGTACATGAGCTTGAAGAATACTTTTCTAGTACCTTTATGTGGGAAAGTATACCCACATAAGAATTGCAACGTTTCAGGTTTCTGAACAGTCTGGTGCCTGTTTGAATGTTTAGAATACGAAAAGGATGAATTACACATGTATTCCGAGACAAAACAAAATGAAAACGAATGCTGTTATATATACATTGGATTTGTGTAACATTTTCTGCCCGGATTGGCAAAATAGAAACAAGGGAAACAAGCTTCAGGATTATGATGTTTTTCAAATATACCCAGTTCCCTTCCACTGATTTCCAACCTGAACTAGAAATAAAAGAGATCTGTGAAACCTCGAATGTTTCATAATTAGATGTATGTATGTATGTATGTATGCTTGAGTGATTCAGAGTGACAAAACTACCACACGACAAGAGGGATGTAAACTTTCAATAGGTTACATCAGTCAAAGCTTCAGCAGCAAACCTTTCAAAAGGTTGTATGATAGACACTTGGAGGATATTTTGAAATTTGACGCATCACTGACATAATATACGAGGCAATTACAATGTATTGACTTTTGCCATGTTCCCGTGTGTTTTTAAGGTGAACAGTTATACTTGCCCTTGGGTTTGCAACAGGAGCCAGCGCCGGGGCATGATACAGTCACCTTTTACGGGATCACTTGGTTGTGTTTGTTTGTTGTTTTACGCCGCACCCAGCAATATTCCAGCTATATGACGGCGGTGGTATCATCACTATTGCTCATGAAATAGTCGGTACGTACTGTGGACTGCTTTTAGCAGACATTTTTTTTTATAATTATGGAAACGGTTTTGTCGGGTTTTATTTATTAAGCGTAATTGCACTCATAAGAAACACTAAACCATTAATAAAAGAAACACACAGCACGTAAACTATACGTGCAGTAGCCTTGTTAATAATTTGTCATCGGGTAAAGAAAGAAATCTTTTCACATGAACAGAGAAAAGGCGAAAACTATACCATTTCTTTTACACAAATACATCAGACGGGAATGGGGCTTTTGCACCCATAACAGGTAATTGTGCATGTGTAACTAACAGCTGCAGGTAGGCTGAAGCGTACGTGATACGTGAAAATATAAACTATCTATGAAGTGTTTATGAAAACCTATTTGACGAACTATTGCCATTTAATTATGTACAGCAACCCTCTTAAAGGACACACGAAGGTAATTAAGACCGAATAACTAACATGAACTATTTTGTGTTAGAGAGAATTTTCTGTGTGACAAAAACTATTAAGCAAATAGATCTTTGAAAGGCATTTAGAAGTGATACACATAAGGAAGAGAATATATGGATGTCAACTTCTTTATTATGAGGAACACAACGTTTCGGAGCATATGCTTTCTCCTTCATCAGGTGAAGGAGTGAACATATACTCCGAAACGTTGTGTTCCTCTTAATTAAAGAAGTTGACATCCATATATTCTCTTCCTTATTAAGCAAATAGTCTATTAAGCAATTAAGACTAAGCAAATACTTTGTTTTGAGCACTGGAAACTGTAGATAGCCTAATTAATCCCATGCACACAATTGTTTGATACTTTGGAACCCTTTAAAGCTCTTAACACATTGTTCGTGAATATCTTCAATGAGGTACATTTCACATTGAGGACTTTACATGTACATGTATTTTATCTTCTATTAGAAACAGTTTTATATACATTGATTTCAATATTTTCACACATACCTCCAATTTCGGTTCGTGTTCCATAAGCTGATAGTGTGTTACATAAGTTGTCCGACTAGCAACGGTCTGAATGACACTGACAACTTTTGATGTCGGGAGAGAGAAGTTGACTTTGTTGGCTCCAACAGCAAAGCCAAACATGGGCAGCACACGGGTATTAGACTACTGTGACCACGGCTACAATGCGCTTCCCAGACTCTTCACACAGGTAATTACAGCAGGTAGGTCTTAAAGTCCGTGGAAAACAGGTAAATAGTCCAAAGGCTTCAGCACCACAAGTGGAATAAGATATGCCATGGGTTGATTCCCCACCACAAAACATCAATAGAAGAGTCAACTCAATAATTTATGTTTGTGGCAACCTGGTGTTTACTTTACATGATATTTTGCGCTTGTTGCCCAATATGCGAGATGTTAAGGTACAATTAAGGCAGGGTACCTATCATTGGGCTGATTAGTCTTTGATTGTTGTCTCCGTCTTCCCTGCCCCGTCGGCTCTCGCTGCGCAGCTCATAAATTATCATCTGTTAGGTGGACTGTGGATTATTAGGAACGGGCCAACTTGGCTGCTCTGGAGAAAAAATAACAATTGTCATGGTATGACTCATTTAAGCCCTCGAAACTCCCACTTTACTTTAACCCTTGGAGGACACATTTTATGAAACAGATACTTTGAATAGGGTATGCTTGTTTGAAATCACCACGAAAGAATTCAACAAGTCTGGTCATGGAATTCCCGTTCGTATGTTTTTGAAAAAAAAGGTTTTAGATTGTTGATCCGAAGTGCTGTTGCGTTTGAAGTTATTCATTAAATGGTAATATGTTACTGATTGTCAAGCTTGATTAATGAATTTATTAATAAATGATTGGTACGCTTGATACTATTACAATGTGCTTTTTACAGAGCTGTTGACGCTTTTTCGACAACAGTGCATGTGTTTTATAAGTTGTATCATTCATTTGTTTTTTTATATTGAAATATGATTTTATTATTATGGATTTAGTTATATAATTAGGACACAATGCGTTTTAATTGTATTACTGTTTTGTGTTGTATAAATTGAGCTCATAACTGGACGGCAAGCAATGAATTCAGTGAAATTGATCCCTATTTTGACTTGTATCCTATGTTCCCCTGTTTTTTGTCGGGCGAACAATCGACTTGCCTTTGCATGTGTTTGTAACGAGTGACACCCTTAGGGCAGGATATTTCAGTTTTCCGCGAACACCTGTATCATCACGATTTACTAATGATTTATTAACATGTGTTTATGGCGTAGTCGGAATCGTACAATGTACTGTGATTTTTGCAGATATTTCTCACGGTTATGTCGCTTTATATGTGCATGAACGCAAAACCTCAAAGTCACAAGCACACATTTCATCACTTTATTCATTTTTTACACTTACATGTATAAACTACATTATTTGGTTTAATGACCAAACGCAAATGTCATCCCTTCCGTAACCACAATCCTCACTACCCCTGTCTCGAGAGTGTGTTTATATTTGACACCATGAACATTATTAAAACTATCTCATTCAACAACTGTTAATGTTATCACAGATAATGAACGTAATTATATATCATATACCTTTTATGGTCCTGCAAATTGTTAACTGGATCCGATGCTTTAATATCAGACTTAAGTTATATTATTTAAAAATATATATCTACAAAATATAAAATAAAATCCAACATGAAAGAACAATGTTTCCTAGAGCTGAAGCAGTCTAGACTTGTTGGATTCCTGTGTTTAATATATTCCCTAAGGTCCGGGAGACAGACCACTTTACCGTTTTAAATTCGTGTTATATTTATGTTTGACATGTATCATGTCTTACATTTTGATTAATCTTGTGTTATATACAAGTGTATTGTGTTTTTTTATTAAGCTTCTTCGTTTTTTTTACAATAAGGCTTGAATACTGTAAGAAGCATAATACAGAACCCTCACATATTTCGTGACCTCGTGAATTATTATTATTATTATTTTTATTTTTATTATTTTTGTTTTTATTATTATTATTATTATTATTATTATTTCACTCTGACTCGTTATTTATCTATCGTTACGAAATATGCCAGATACCAGATTGTCTAGATATTTATATGTGGCTTGGAAAAAACAAGTAGGCAGACTCAACGGGCGAACTGTTGATAGTATGATGCTAATTTAAACGATATAAACCGATTTAACATGTATGACAGTAACTATATCACATGTTCATGTCCTCTTGGGAATAAAATGGCACCAGACATCATGGGTATTTTCTCTGTCGATATTTTCTTGTAATATATTTTTATTTCTTGATTCGTTTTAATCGCATGTCCATAATTCCTTACCATACACAATTAGTTTATTAGCTCACTTCAATGTATTTTCATCTACGTATAATTATGAATAATAGGCACTCACACAAAGGAATATGAATGTCATTTCGCCTTCTTAATAATTATCTCTTTACTCGGGGGATTATTTTACAGCTTGATGTATCATTCCTTTTGATAAACACAAAATTCTAAGATTTAAGTGAAAATCAATACTCTCGTGCACTTTCTGGTATTAAAACCTTTTTGTAGCTTTGTTCGATTGAAGTGGAAAAAACACTAACTCAAGTCTTTATTCGAGACTTTTCAAACAAATGCATTGAATAAAAAAATCAATCTTGTATACATAACGTTACAAAATTGAAGATAGTTGTTGGGGAATCGTTATCTCTCAAAACTACCCATAATAACATAATTACAACTATAAAAGCAGTTAATGAAAGTTTTATTAAAATGCGGGCACGATTACCATACGGCGCAAGCAGATTTTGCTTTTTAACGGAGCTCTTCCGTTAGAAAGAAAAGTTACTCGTATGCGTCGTGGACATCAAACTACCACTATTTGCCTAACAACTGGCCGCAGTGTCTTATAATAAGGTTAAATTACGGAAACTAAGACACGACCGGTTCGTGTTATCTCCTCCACTCCTTGTTGTAAGGGGGGTCAGGCGTAATGAGTGGAAATAGCAGGAGCAAAATTGATATTAAGTGCTGCCTCGGAAGAGAATTGGGCACCGTTACTTCATTAAAACATTTATAGCTGAAGATGATTTGGGCCATTTGATGACTCGGGAGCAGCGCATAATAACAGCTTTCCTCTGCCCCTGTCTACTCCACTGGTCCTAGCCTATTATTTACCCCGGCAAAATTCCGGAACTTTGGAAAAACGGAGTCTTTAGTGTTTATTTATGGAGAATTCATTATCGGTAATCGACACGAGCTCAAGTTGGATTGCGTTTGATCGGGTCCAATTATCCTTGCCATCATCAATCACATTCATCAGCAGCACGGGTTCGCGAGCGCACGGCCAGAATTGTTGTATGTGATGTGCGTGCGGAGAGGGCCGCGCCATGCAATTATTGTGGTGGTGTCCGCGATGGCCGCAACTTTGTGACTTCATTTCGAGTGCTCCTCCAAAAGCCACATTAGCCGCTCTCAGACATAGGATAGCGAGAAGAACTTGGCTATGGATGGTTTAATTAAGGTTGGGTGTCACCGGAGCTTAAAGGGAATAATAATTATTGGCTATGGCCAGCTGTGAACTGTCGCAATATTGCGATTGAATGAATACCAAATCAAAACTTCTGTCACCGATGAGACTTTTTGTTTGTTGTTGTTGTTGTTGTAAACTTGTGATAACTTTTCTTTCCATTGTTGTGCTCTATCTGTGAATTTTATTTAAGTTTATTATATCCCTCCAGTTTTGGACAATCTTGATCGCGTTAATGAATGCAATTCTGATACGTGTCAATGTTGTCGTAACCATACGATTACAGACACGGGCTATGCTGCCATGGTGACGTAGTGGTACTTACCCGTGAGGATGCGAGTTAGAATTGGTAATTAGCAACCCATGCTTGTCGTAAGAGGCGACTAACGGGATCGCGTTGTTAGACTCGCTGACTTGGTTGATGCATGTAGTATCGCATTTGCATGGATGTATGATCATGATGTCAATCACTGGATTCTCTCGCCCAGACTCGATTATTTACAGACCACCTTGAATATTGCTGAGTGCGGTGTTAAACAACAACAAACGAACGAACATAGTGGTACTTTTCATGTTGATATAGAGGTGCTGACATGAGTCATTGCTGCCATGGTGATATAGACGTGACATGCGTCGTTGTCATGGTGATAAAGACGTGACATGCGTCGTTGTCATGGTGATATAGAGGTGAAGACATGCGTCATTGCTCCCATGGTGATATAGACGTGCTGCCATGGTGATACAGAGGTGCTGACATGCGTCATGTGCTGCGCTGCGTTGTGCTGTCTCTGATGTAGCGTGTGTAGAGTTGTTGTCATGCGTCATGTGCTGTCGTGGTGATACAGATGTGCTGACATGCGTCATGTGCTGCGCTGCGTCGTGCTGTCTCTGGTGTAGAGTGTGTAGAGTTGTTGTCATGCGTCATGTGCTGTCGTGGTGATACAGAGGTGCTGACATGCGTCATGTGCTGCGCTGCGTCGTGCTGTCTCTGATGTAGAGTGTGTAGAGTTGCTGTCATGCGTCATGTGCTGTCGTGGTGATGTGGATTTAGTGACATACATCATTGCTGTCAGAGAGAAGTGATACCGACATGCGTCACTGCCCTCACACAGTGATACCGACAAGAGTCACTGCTCTCACACAAAGAGTGATACCGACATGCGTCTCTGCTCTCACACAAATAGTGGTACCGACATGCGTCACTGCTCTCACACAAATAGTGGTACCGACATGCGTCACTGCTCTCACACAGATAGTGATTCTGACATGCGTCACTGCTCTCACACAAATAGTGATACCGACAAGCGTCACTGCTCTCACACAAATAGCGGTACCGACATGCGTCACTGCTCTCACACAGATAGTGATTCTGACATGCGTCACTGCTGTCACACAAATAGTGATACCGACAAGCGTCACTGCTCACACAAATAGTGGTACCAACATGCGTCACAGCCCTCACACAGTGATACCGACAAGCGTCACTGCTGTCACATAAATAGTGGTACCGACATGCGTCACAACCCTCACACAGTGAAACCGACAAGCGTCACTGCTGTCACACAGATAGTGATACCGACATGCATCACTGATCTCACACAAATAGTGATACCGACATGCGCCACTGCGGTCACACAGATAGTGATTCTGACATGCGTCACTGCTCTCACACAAATAGTGATACCGACAAGCGTCACTGCTCTCACACAAATAGCGGTACCGACATGCGTCACTGCTCTCACACAGATAGTGATTCTGACATGCGTCACTGCTGTCACACAAATAGTGATACCGA